GGGCCCAGACTCCTACCTGGCACTTCTACAAACTCATGCCCCTTCCTGTGCCTGTTTCCCCAGTTTCAATACAAGAGGTAGTCGTCAGTGCTCCCCGAAGCCAGATCTTTTCTTTGAGATGTTCATAGAAATGGTGTTGTTGTTGTCATGTGCCCTCGAGTCACTTGTGACTCATAGTGGCCCTATGTACAACAGCCCTGAAACCCGCTCTATCCTGGGCCTGTGTCTCCAACACACCTCCCCTTATTACCCCAGTCACTGAATCAATCCATCTCATCAATGGTGTTTCTCTCTTTCTCCATCCCTCCACCCTCCCAACCATGATGTCTCTCTCCTTTTCTTGCAACATGCCCAAAGTATGTCAGACGAAGCTTCAGAATCCTTGCCTCCAAAGAGCAGCCTGGTTTAAGCCTCTTTAGGTCGAATCTGTTTGTTCTCCTAGCAGTCCATGGTATATTCAACACTCTTCTCCAGCACCACAGCTCAAAGGCATCAATTCTCTATCATCCCTAGTTGTTGTCCAGCTCTCTGACACATACCATAGCAGGCAATTGCGAAGACTTTGGCCTTAGTCTCCAGACTGACATTGTTGCTCTTCATAGAAATAGAATGGAAAATTAGATGGTTCGTAAGGTTGGGGAAATGTGTCAAACAAAGTTGAAATGGCTGCACAGGAATTTCCAGGGTCTTTTTTTTACTCCAAATGGAGTCCCAGTTGCTTCCTGGGAGAAAGACAGGTAATCTCTTCCTGTGCGATTTACAGCTGTGGAAAAAGCTCCAAAAATCCACCAGAAGGTCAGCTATGATTTGTTTTTGACTTGACAGCAATGAGTTTGAAGTTTTGTATGCCGGTGTAGCTTGTACATTCTCAAAAGGGAGATATTATTTCACAAACTCTTTTGACCGGGCCTTTTGTCTGTAAAAGCCACTGAGTGGATTTGAACTGCCACCCTTGAGGTTAGCAGAGGAGCACAAACCATGTGTGCCATCCAGGGATCTTACAGTAATTTTGGCTGTTAGTAGCTATCACATCTTAAAATAAAGAAGGCAAAAATCCTCACCACTGGGCCAATATACAATATGAAGAATATACAATATGATAGAAGATTGAAGTTAACAATTTCATCTTGGATCCAGGGTCAATACCCTTGGCACCAGCAGTCAAGAATCAAAAGCTATATTGGGTAAATATGCTGTCAAGGACCACTCTAAGGTGTTAATGAGCAATGATGTCAGTTTAGAAAGACTAAGGTGTATCTGATTCAAGCCATGGTCATCAATCACTTGCTATGTACCTCAAAGTTGGACAGTGATTAAGGATGACAGAAGAACGTTGAACTGTGGTGTTTCAGAAGAGTACAGAATATTCCATGGACTGCCAAGAGAACAAATATGTCTTGGAGAAAGTGTAGCCAGGGTGCTTCTTGGAGGCAAGGATGGCGAAGCTTCATTTCACATACTTTGAGAATGTTTTTAGAAGGGGCTGGTCTTTGGAGAAGGACATCGTGCCTGGAAAGGTAGAAGGGTCAGTGAAAGAGAGGAAGATTCTCACCAAGATGTGTTAATACAGTGACCACAGCAATGGGTTCTATTAGAGATGATGAGTACAGGACAGGGCAGAGTTCAGATCCATTGTTCCTGGGGTGGCTATGAATTGTACATGGCTGGATAGCATTTAACAACAGCAACTAACAGCCCCTCCATTGTGGTCATTACAGGTAGAAAGGGCAGGGGTATGGCATGCCAGATGGCTATCAAGGGGAAGAGAAGTCTTTGAGAGTAGCTAACTAGCCTCAGATGGGCACAGAATGGCCCTGGGAGAAGGGAACCCAGCCAGTGCTCTCCAAGGAGCAGTGTATGGATAGGGCTACAACCTTAGCTGGGTTCCTGGGACCCAGACTGAATACCACAGGCCCCACTCTGTGGGAGTACATAGGGTTATTCCCAGGATAGGGAGAGAACTCTTGCCCAGAGGGTGACTACCTATTACCCTGTTCTCCTTTTCTGATGCCCCAGGACAGATGGGTTTGGCTGCAGACCTACCCAGAAACCAAATTGGTGGCTGGGTGACTCAGTGGTAGCTCCTGGTAATAGTTGAGCCAAAGGCCCCTGTCCAGCCCAGAGAACCCACTTCTGGGCCAGCTTGCTCTCTAGTTTTCACTGGGCTTTCCTGCAATTGTTGTCAAGTCAATCCCAACTCCTGGGAGAACTGCTTTCATTATGTACCATCTTCCAGAAGTGGATTTCTAGACCTGTCTCTCAAGGCACCTTGGGTGGATTCAAACCACCTGTTCAAGTGAGTAACAGTGACAGGAAAGCATTCACATCACCCAGGGACTGGAGTAAACAGCATGGGCTGGTCCAACATCACTCCTCACGGCAGTACCAGCTAAGGAGCCCGATCTAGCTCTTTTCACAGCTCACAGCCACACCTTCAGAGCTCAGGGGCCCACTGGACTGCCCTAGGCACTTGCACCCTCAGGCAGGTTTTACAGTACTGTGGGGGAGGGGAACATACAGGTGGGGACTGCCGTGCCCCAGACACTGACCCAGGGCATGGAGTTCCTCATGCCACACTAGTCCTCATCTGTAAAATGTGGATGATTTGGTGAGAATCAATTATTAAGTGAGGTCAGAATTGCCCTCTGCTCATATTTCTGAACACGCTTGGGACACGTGGTCTTGCTCCCTATGTGGTGGCCTGGCTCAGGAGCCCCTTGGGAACTCAGTTTCCTCCGCAGGGAGTGGCTCTTGTAGGCTGCTTGAAAGCCCACTGAGCCCACATTTGCCGAGGGCCCCTATGATGTGTGCCACCAGGCCTGGGATGTGGTGGGGCCTGGTCCTGAAAAAAGCCCCTCAAAACAGGGTCACACCACCAGCATCTTCCTTCTCCACTTCAATTCCTCACTTCCTGGCCATCTGAACAGGGCTGTGTGTGGGAGGGACATCAGACTGGGGGCTTACAGCCTTCACTCCCACCCCATGGGAAGATGAAGGCAAAGGGATGTGGAGAAGAGTTTGTACTTGGGGGGTGTGGAGCCCTGCTTGGCCACAGCTTTGCTGTGTATGACCTTGGGCAGGTTACTTCACCCAAGCCTTCATGTCTTCCTCCTGGACACATTCCCACCTTGTAAGGGGAGACGTGGGGCTCCAGAGACATTCAGTGGCTATGGAAAAGCACAGCACTCAGGACGGACAACCCAAACCATTGCTGTCAGTTCCAACCCAAGCGGGCTCTGGTGTTACTGAGTAGAACTGCTCCACATGGCTTTTCTTCACGGAAGCAGACTGCCAGATCTTTCTCATGTGGTGCTGCTTGAGTGGACGCTAATTGTCAACCTACTGGTTAGAAGCCACTGCACCTCCCAGGGACACTTGGTACACAGTAAGTGCTTAATAAGTGCTGAGAGCTGGGACTGGTATGTTCTGCCAATCCCAGGCACCTTGGGGCGTGTGTCTGTGTGTACGCTCTGCAGCGTCAGGCCGGCCAGGCAGATGACCTCTGCCAGCCACAGGGAGGGTCAGTGCTTAGAGAAGTGAATGAGGGCCCCATTCCTTGACTAACCCAGCACTTCGTACAGAATGGAGTCTGAGAACCTGGGTCAAATCTGCCTCTGCCACTCTACAGACTGACCACTGGCCACAGGCCATGACACAACAGCCACTTGAAGAGAGTCACAAGTCAAAGAATCCCCAAATGCACAGCACACAGGGGCCAGGAGGCTCCCCTCCACCGTCTCCCTGGTTCCTTCGGGCTCTGAGCCGGCCAGCCAGCCGGAGGAAACAGCCCGTTTTCTTCCAAAAAAGAGGAGCGAGCAAACACAAGAGCTAAAAGCAATCCAACAGCTGAGACACCATCTGTGTTATGTTTTTTTTTTTCCTCTCTCTTTCTCTTTGCTTTTAAAACAATATAGTGCAGACTGCACTTCTCACAGTAGAATATAATGGTCAATTTTAGTATAAAAAAAAAAACCAAAACAACAACATTCTCAGAGGTTTGTAAATGCACTTAGTGCTTGAACAGGCCTTGGAGAGATACAGTACCGCTTCCAGGGGTGCAGGGGCGTGGTGGTGGGAGGGGGCAGGGCTTGGGGATTCAGGCCTAGGGGATGTAGTGGGGAGTACCCCTGCCTGTTTGCTCCACCTGATACTGGGGACAACCTCTTTAGAGGTTGGTTTGCAGGAAAGGAGCCGGTTCCCCAGTTAAAACCAGTCAGGTATCCCCTTGTTAGCATCAAGGAGACCCTTGAAGAAGGCAGGGTGGGAGTCCCTCTATATGGGTCTGTGATGCAGGCCCACCATTAAGCCCCTTGGGGCCTTTGTGCGAAAATGAGGATGGTACATCTTCCTCAAGACACAGAAATCTGTTGTAATTGATATTCAAGTCTAGGATGCGCATGACATTTCTGTGGCCGAGGTGCCCTTGTGCAGTGTACGGCCTGCACAACTGTGCCTGGCAGCCCTGTTAAGATGTGTAGGGAGAGGGAGAGAATGAGTCCAGGGTTTGGAGGACAGGGAGGAATTCTGAGTTGGAGAGGAATGGGTTTGGGGGGCATGGGTAGGAAGAGGAAGGACAGGGGATTCGGTAGCTCCAGTGACTTCCTCTAGGGCCCCTGGGTTCCTCTGTCAGGCGCCTGGGAGAGGAAAGAAAGCCTGCGGTCTGATCCCATTCCTAGAGGACCACATTCCCTACTCCCCTACCCCAGCCCGTTTCATAGGAGAGCTAGAAAGAGCCATTCCTGAATTCCACAAGGGTCTCTCTCTCTGCCTCTGCCAGTGCGGACTGAGGAAGGTGGTGGCAGACCCTCTGGTGTCCCGGGTGGCCAATGGGGAGGGAGCCTCAGGGCATAATGTCACTCCACTATGCCCATGTCGGGTGGCAGCGTGGCTGCAGCTGGCCCAGCTTCCCTGAGGCCATCCTGGATGCTCAGAGGCTCTGCTTGGTGGCCTGCCTCCCCTCTGGCCCTGTCCATCTGTCCCTGCAAGTGTCAGGCAGGCCCTTATCTGTAGACAGGCAGGCGGATGTGGGCGTGCTGGTGGTCGAGCAGCCGGGGCACGGCCACGGTCTCGTAGCCCTTGCCCAGCATCTGCTCCTTGATGCAGGGCGGGCGGATGTCGTTGATGAGATACTCCAGCGACTGCAGGCTGCTGCTCAGCACCGACGTGTTGCACACGCTCTTGCTGGGCAGGCCTGAGAGCGGGTCCACAGGGGGCGCTGCCAACTCCCGGGCCACCCCCGGGCCCAGCTCGGTGACGGCCACCGCTGCCATGGGGTTGTAGCAGTCGCTGGTGGGTGTCACCAGCACACTGTTCCAGGGGGCGGTGAAGTACTGGCCCATGGTGAAGTTGGCGGGCAGCCCGATGCTGCAGTTGAGGGGAGACCCGTTGGCCCGCTCGTACGCCCGACCCCCGCACACCTCGGGGGACTTGCTGGCCGCCGTGCCGCCACTATAGGCACGCAGTGGCTGGGGTGGGGGTGGGGGCGGCTTCTGTGGCCATAGCAGGTAATCCAGGCCGCTGTCCGTGTACCCTGCAGGCTTGGTGGCCCCGGCCAATGTCAGGGCTGGTGTGGTCCCGGGGCCCAGCTCGGCCCCTTTCCGGCAGTCAGGCAGCGCAGTGGTGGTGGCCGAGTAGGTCATCCGGGGGAAGCTGGGCATGGGGCCGTGCTTGGCCGGGCTGGGGTGTGGGACGGCCACACCCTGGCAGGCAGAGGGCACAGTGCCCGGGGCCTGGCACTGCTGGTTGAGCTGGTAGAGGATGCTGTGGATGGAGGGCAGGTTGGAAGGTGGCAAGGGCAGGCCACGGCCCGGCAGGGGGATGACGGAGGGTGCGGGGGCGGTGGCAGCCGTGGGCAGGCCAGCTAGTGGGGCGGGCGTCTCAGGCGGCTTGGCGTAGGCCAAGGGCCCCAGAGTGCTGGGTGCTGGGTAGGGCGCGACGCCCACCTGTACAGCAGCAGGCGAGGGTTTGGTCCGCTTGCCCTCGGCGTTCTTGAGGATGCTCTTCGTGGGCCCAGCAGGGGCGGCCCCGCTGGAGGACACGGCAGCTTTGACGATGGCCAGCAGGCCCTGGTAGCCGGTAGCATGCTGTGGGTAGGGGCTATAGCGCTGGCCGCTGGTGTCATAGCCATTGACTGTGCGGCTGAGGTGCTTGTGCTGGGGCACCCGGATGTTGGTGGGGAAGATCTTGATGGACAGAGGGCTGTTGGCCACCTTCTCAGCGTAGGCGTCCAGCTCGGCTGGGCTGGGGTAGCGGGAGGAATGCATGGAGCTGGTCGCCGGCTCACCTGCAGAGAGAAAGCACGAGTGAACGTCCTGCCACGCAAACCCCTCTGCTCCCAAAGGGCTGCTTCCCCTGAGCCCTGTGCTTCTGGACTGCTCAACCCTCTTACCAGTGTTAGGAGGGCCAGTCCTGGAAAAAGCATAGCATGCTTGGCAAGGTGGAGAGTCTGCCAAAGAGAGGCAGACTCTCAACTAGATGGACTGACAGTGACTGCAGCAATGGGCTCACGGGTGTCAGCGACGGGAAAGACGGCACAGGGCAGGGCAGAGTTCCAAGCTGTTGTTCACAGGGTTGCTGTGGGTCATAGTCGACTCCACAGAACCTAACAACTACTTACCAAAGTGCAAAATATGTCAAGGAAATGGCACAGACCTTCCTAGCAGGGCATGGCCATGTAACATCAGCCAGGACAGGGAGCAGGACTCTGCCCCCAGGGTTCCCCTGTGCCACCAGCCCCCTAAGTCAACCCCTATCCTGACTTCCAGTGACATGGCCTCATAGGGCCTGGTTTGTGCACATGATGAAATGAAGCCCCACAGCCTGTATTTGCTCATACCTGTCTTGTCTCCTCACACTATGTCTGTGAAACACCTCGTCCCCCCGGGGGTGGGGGTGGCAGGCTGTGCGCAAGCGTGCGTGCATTGGTTCTTTCTCACTGTCAGGCTACGGACAGTGTGTGAATACAATTTATTCATGAGCATTTGAACTGGGCTGTGACACTTAAAAAAAATGCTACTTGAATTGTGTTCCCGGGTGAACATTTATACAGCCAAGTCGAGTTTACACTGTCCTCAAATCCATGCTAGCTCGCAGCTGAGCCTCCAGCAGTTTTCTGAACCTGTAATTCACACAGGAAAAGACTGACCTTCTCGTTGGAGTTGCTGGTGGATTTGAACTACAAAAGTGGAGCTGCTTTTGAGTTAGCAGTGCTACAGTCTACGGCACCAGAATGCCCTACACAGCAGAATGTTGCTGACTATCATCGAGTCGGAACCGACCCATAGCTGACTCTCTGGTGGGTTTTCAGAGGCAGTTAATCGCATGGGAGGAGATTGCCCACCCTTCTCCCTCAGAGCAGCGGGTGGCCTCGAACTGTATGACTTCAGGATTGCAGCATAGCTTCTTGCCACGAGGCCACCAGAGCAGGTTAAGTGCCTATCAAAGAATTTCTAAACAGCTTTGTTTATTTCCCCTCCCTAATGTGTCTCATTGACTACACAAAGGCTTCTGACTGTGTGGATCACAACAAGCTGTGGCTGACTCTGAAAAGAATGGGAATCCCAGAACATTTCTTTGTGCTTATGTGAAACCTGTACTTGGCCCAGGAGGCAGTCGTCAGAACAGAGCAGGGAAACACTGCTTGGTTCAAAATTGGGAAGGGTGTGCATCTATATCTTTTCAATCTATATGCGGAACAGATTATTTGGGAGGCTGGGCTCTACGAAGGAGAAGCGTGGCATGAGAATTGCATTGCACAGATGATAGAGCCCTGCTGGTTGAAACTGAGGAGGACCTGAAGGGCTTGCTGCAGATGAAGCTCAACATCAAGAAAACAAAGATTCTCCCCACTGGGCCGACTGGCAGCATCATGATAGATGATGAAGAGATTGAGATTGTTGACAGCCTCAGTTTGTTTGGCTCTACAATCAACACTCTTGGTAAGAGCACCCAAGAAATTAAAAGATGAATTGCATTGGGAAGGTCTGCTGTCAAAGACCTCTCCAAAGTCTGAATGAAGAGCAACAATGTCAGTCTAGAGACTAAGGTGGGCCTGATATAGGTCATGGTCTTTGCAATTACTTGCTATTCATCAAAGAGCTGGACAATGACTAGGATGATGGAAGGAGAGTTGATGCCTTTGAGCTGTGGTGCTGGAGAAGAGTACTGAATATACCATGGACTGCTAGGAAAACAAACAGGTTCATCTTAGAGAGAGTGAAACCAGGCTGCTCCTTGGAGGCAAGGATTCTGAAGCTTCATCTGACATACTCTGGACATGCTGCAAGGCGGGATCAGTCCTTGGAGAGGGACATCATGCTTGGAAAGGTGGAGGGACAGCACAAGAGAGGAAAACCCTCGATGAGATGGATTGATTCAGTGCCTGGGGTAATGGGGATAGGTGTGTCAGAGACAATAAGATTGGCAGAGGATAGAGTAGCGTTTAGGGCTATTGTACATAGGGTTGCTATGAGTGGCAGGCAACTAGACAGCACATAACAACAACAATAACTGTTTATTGTTTTAAATAACTTCACATTCAAAAGCAAGTGCATATTTAAAACTTGGCATTAATTGCCAAAGTTGAGTCCCTATCTTTAAAAAGAAATCTTGTATTTACAATGATTTATTCATTGCAAATACCTTTTTCAAAATTTTACATTTTTTAGTAATTGGTTTGCTTATAAGGTTTACATACATTATGTTTCACACTCTTTTTATTCACATTGTACTTCATACAATCATTCTCATGCATTATGGTTTTATAAAATCAATCACTCTTGGACCTTTCCCATCTCTGACTTTTTACTCTGTCTTTTCACCCGGATCCCCCTGTCCTTCCACTCACCAAACTGTGCAGCCCTGTGATTTCACCCCTACCTATCCTCACCTCTCCACTCCCCCTTACCTACCCTTGAGTCCTGTGCATGTTTTAGTAGTTATCCTTCTAATTTCACAATAATAGTCTTATGCAGTATTTGTCCTTATGAAACTGAGGTAGTTCCCTCAGCTCAATGCTCTCTGGTCTCTCCTAAGTTAGGTAGTATTTTTCAAAATTGTTGCTCTTGAGTGCTACATAATATTCCATTGTCTACATGGATTTTTAAGTGATATTGGTTATGATGAACCTTCTTGTACATGGTCCCAAACCCAAACCAAACCTAAGCCCACAGGAACCAAGTTAGCTCTGACTCAGAATGACCCTCCTTTGGCTTTCTGTGTTTCTTAATGGGAGGAAACTATGTTACCTGCTTCTTGTAGAGTGGCTGGTGCGTTCAAACTATTGACCTTTTGATTAGCAACCCAATTCTTAAGCCACTACACTACTTCATCACATGGACTCTTCAGTGGCCCCTATCCACTACCATTACCCATTGCCATTAATTCACAATGAAAGAGGGCTCAGGACATGGAAAACTTTTCCAATCCTGTGCCATCCTGACAATCTCCACTGTGCTTCAAAGCAATTCTTACAGTCCCTGTGTCATCCCCTCTTATTGAGAGTCCTCCACTCCTTTGCTGACCCCTCTATTTTTCCAAGCACTGGTACTTCCTGACAACATGCCCAAAATATGTGAGACCGGGTTTCACCATCTTTTTCTCTAAGGAGCACCCTGGCTGCACTTGCTCCAAGTTAGACTTATCTGGGTTTTGGGAAGTCAGTCTATGATGGCCTTGTGGTAAGGAGCTGTGCTGCCAACATGAAGGCACACAGTTCAAAGCCACCAGCTGCTATGAGGGAGAAAGATGGCCAATCTCCTCCCACGTAATTTACAGCCTCTAAAAACCAGCTGGAGGGTCGGCTATGAGTCAGTTCCAGCTCTACAGTACATAACAACATACTTTTCCCTTTGGGCTTCCTTATTCTTTATCCTAGTATATCCCAGACCGAATGTGCCTTGAAGGCAAGGATAACATAGCTTACTCTCACATACTTGGGGCATGTAGCTACTAGGAGCAGGACATCATCTGAGGAAGGTAGAGACTCAGAGAAAGAGAGGAAGGCCTTCAACGAGATGGACTGACACAGAGACTGGGTTCAGGGGTGTAAGAGATGATGAGGATGGAACAGGACAGGACAGAGCGCAGATCTGTTTTGTTCTTCAGAAAAGATATCTTTGCTTCAACAGAAGACGTGTTGTTCACAGGGTTGCTATGAGTCACACTCAACTCGAGCACTTCAACACACCACTACCAGTGCGTGTGGATTCTGGTGGGAATTACTTGTCAGAGGGGAAAGCTATGCTGAAGGTGCTGAGGAGCCCTGGTGGTACAATGGTTAAGTGCTGTTTAATGTAATGGTTGTTGTTGTTGTTATGTGCCGTCGAGTCGTTTGCAACTCATAGAGACCCCATGTACAACAGCCCTAAACCCTGCTCTATCCTGTGCCAATCTCATTGCCTCTGACACACCCATCCCGATTACCCCAGTCACTGAATCAACCCACCTCATAGAGGGTCTTCCCCTCCTGCGCTGTCCCTCTACTCTGCCCCGCATGATGTCCCTCTCTAAAGACCTGTCTCTCCTTACAACATGTCCAGAGTATGTCAGACGAAGCCCCAGAATCCTTGCCTCCAAGGAGCAGCCTGGTTTAATCCTCTCTACAATGAATCTGTTTGTTTTCTTGGCAGTCCATGGTACATTCAGTACTCTTCTCCAGCACCATAGCTCAAAGGCATTAGTGGCTGTTAACTGGAAGGTCAGTGGTTTGACTCCATCTTGTTCCAAGGGACAAATGGCCTGCCAATCTGCTCCTATAAATAATATAGTCTTGGAAAGAAACTCATGCCATAGGGTAATTCTGAATCAGATTTGATGGCACATGACAAAAATATATTCAGCTTTAGAAGAAAACACCAGTTTGTGAAAAAGACTGTGTGTGGTTACATTTCCATCAGCAGAATACAGTGTTCCAGTGAGTCCTCTTTCTTAACAACATTATATGATCTGAGCCTCAGAAGCCCAATGGAAGCTCAGCTGTGAGTCGGTTCAGACTGCATGGCAATGGCTGAGTGAGCGCTCTTCCATTTAAAGGAGCCCTGGTAACACAGCAGGTAAAGAACTGTGCTCCTATCTCAAAGGCAGGTGGTTTGAATCCACCTATCTAGAGATAGGTCTAGTTGCCACATTTTAGAATAGGGATGCCAGTGGCATCCAGTAGATGGGAAGAGGGAGGCTGGTCAACCTCCCATAATGCCCAGAGCTGTGGCTATTGGCTACAGAGTCCACTGTAACTTCTGGTGGCTCCATGTGTACAGGGCAAAACCTTTGGGATACAGGCCTATC